ACCGGGGAGCGGGGACAGACCCCGCGGGGCAGCGGCCGGGCCCACACCGCCCTCAGGCCTGTGGTTACAGGGACCCCGCAGCCCCGGCAGCACAGCCCCGAGGGGTGCCCAGGCCAGGCCCCGTCGTGTGTCCATCCCTGTCCCTCTGTCCCCGGTGGCCGTCAGCCACCTTGGCACCACCCTGCCCGCACGCAGGTCCCCACAGAAGGCATCGAGGGCTTCCCCAGCTGCTGACAGCCCCGGAGAGCAAATGTCTGCAGCAATAATTGATGGCTGAGGTCGCCCTCGGCCTGTCGGGGCCGGCTCGTTTTTCCCTGCCCGGAGGTTTAATTACCTCCGCTAATGACAGTCGGGGACGGAGACTCCCCTCCGCCCGCTGCCGCTGCCCGGCACAATGGCGGATCCTGTTCCCCATCAATCATTCATGGCCCTGCTGCTGGAAGGGGTTTCTTGGGGGCTGCTCAACCGGGAAGCGGGGGGCGGGGGGGGCGATTTTCCAACCTTCCCAGCGTTAAACTGGTTCTGGGGCAGGTCGGAGGCACCTGGGTCACCTGCTATCCCCTCAGGGTGAGTGGTGGGGGGGTTTGAGGGGGGCACACGGGGTTTGGGGCTTTTTGGGGGTGCAGAAGGAGATGGTCGGGGGGTGGAGATATTCTCAGGATTTTGGGGGGCTGTGTGCTGGTTGGGAGCGGCCCCATGTCCCACCGGAGCTGGGGCTCCAGGACAGCTCGGGGCTGGCTGTGGCCAGGGCTCTGCTCTCCCTCCACAGGGACGAACGCTGCCGTGTCCCCCCCACCGGTGTCCCCATGGGTGTCTTGAGCTGCATGAAGTACCTGATGTTCATCTTCAACGTGCTGGTGTTTGTGAGTCCACCTGGGCCCGGCGGGGTGGAGGGGACCCATCCCTGGGGTCGGGGTGTGACATCTCCAGCCGGTTCAGGGGGTAGCTGACACCAGCCCAGGGGAGGGGACCCCAGCAGAGGTTAGAGCATCCCCAGTCCCCATGGGGTGGCTGGGGATGGTCCCTGCACCCCATAACTGTGATGTGTCCCACAGGCTGGGGGGACGTGCTTGGCGGGCGTGGGGGTCTGGGTGGCCGTGGACCCGGCTGGTTTCCAGGACATCGTGGCTGCCAAGCCTGTGTTAAACGTGGGTGGCTACCTGCTGCTGGCCGTGGGCATCGCACTCTCGCTGCTGGGCTTCCTGGGGTGCTGCGGGGCCCTGCGCCGGAGCCGCCCACTGCTGCTGGTGGTGAGTGAGAGGAGACGAGCGGGAAGGGGGCTGTGGAGTGTGGGAGGCTGGTGGGATGTGGGGAGCCAGGGGATGGAGGGTGTTGAGGGACGTGGGGTGTCCCTGAAGGAACCAGAAGCCTGGTGCTACCCATCCTGCCCCTGTCAGCTCTGAACAGCCCCCTCCCTGCCAATCCAGGCCCCACCTTGTGAATCTTTTGATGCAGAGCCCAGAGGGTTTCATAAAGCCACTGAGCAGGGTCACTTCTCTCTGAAGCTACTGGCTTGTCCCACAGAGCATTTCCGAGCTTTTTCCCCCGATGGCAAGGGCTAGAAACCCCTTTCTGAGCACTGACCCCCGAGTTCCTTTGGCATCCCTAGATCCTGGCAGCTGGTGCTTGTTTTTAAGCCTCCATCTTGCAGCCACGGTACTTGGAGATGTGGTGTCCATCCCCTGGAGCTGCACACTCGTCCCCCTGCTCTGGGGGCACAGGGCACAGGCAGGGCTGCCTGCAGAGTCGGGCAGGAACAGCTAGAGTGAGCTGCCCACAGGCTCAGGCTGGTCTCTGACTCCTTCATCCCACTGCCTTCCAGTTCTTCATCCTCGTGAGCCTTGTCTTCATCACACAGCTCGTTGGGGCTGTTCTCTTCCTGGTGCACTGGAAACAGGTACCATCCCTGCTCCCCGACGCTGTGGCCAGCCCCTGTTCTCCCTCCACCATGCCGTGGGCCATGGCCTTGAGTCCCCCAGGGGATGGGGATGTCCCTTCTCACCTTCACCCCCAGCACCCTGACACAAGCCTGAAACTGGGCAGGTGGGTCCCTACATCCTGTTAAAGAGAGCAGGTGCTCTGGCCATGTGGGACCACAGGCAGGCGTGGGTTAGGGGGGGATGTGCAGCCCCCACCCTGGCCCCATCACCGGTACCAGGCTCCCAGTGCTCACAGATGGCACCAATCCTGCAGATCAAGCCGGAGATCTTCCTGTCCGAGCTGCGGAGGAACTACTGCGGGGATGAGGGTGCTGAGGTCTTCTCCACCGCCTGGAACACCCTCATGGTCACGGTGAGCTGCCGGGAGGCTCCTGGTGGGCTGGGGGTGTGTGTGGAGCACTCACAGGACCTGTCAAGGGTGACTCCAAACACAGGCGAGGGGTTTGTGGACCTGAGACAGACACCGAACCGCACGCTGGGCTGTCCCCACCTCCTCAGGTGACATCCCCCCCCATTTTGGCAGCACATTGATGGTGTTTCCCTTCTGTTTCAGTTCTCGTGTTGTGGCGTTTTAGGACCCGAAGATTTTGGGAATGGCTCCCGCTTCCAGGAGCTGCACCCGGGGATGCCCTGGCCGCAGGCGTGTTGCGCCCGCAACGGGCTCCTGCAGGTGGGCGAGCTGCTGGGCTGGGAGCAGTGCCAGGAGAGGAGCCCTGGCTACATCCACGAGCAGGTAGGACAGGACCCTGCCGTGTCCCTGTCCTGTCCCCAGGCTCGGGGCCACCACACCCTCTGCCCCTGAGTATCAGGGACAGGAGCTGGGACACTGCCCACCCGTGGTTCTGCAGCCTCCCCCAGTCCCCAGCTCATCCAACCCCACCACGGTGCCCCCAACACCCCGGTCTCACTCCCTGAGCTCCCTGCAGCCCTGGGGAGCATGAGGGAGCCCCTCCATCACCTCTCCTTCCCTAGGGCTGCTTCTCCACCTTCGGCAGGACCTTGCAGAAGTACATCTCTGTCCCTGGGACTTGCAGCTTGGCCGTGCTGGGCATTGAGGTAGAGCCAGAGGGGACAGGACAGGCAGCGGGTCACACCCTGTTAGGGCTCGGGTTTAAGGTTAGGGCTCTCTCTTGCCAGGAGGGAGCTCTGTGGGTGAAGGGACCTCAAACAGGCTCAGTTGGGACCCTCCCAAACCTCTAAGCTGTCACAATCACACCCAGAAAGCAGGTGCATGTACAGCAGTTCTATCTCAAGGTATAAAACCAACCTCCTGCTGCAGATGGGTTGGGTTAAAGGCCTGGGGGAGGTGGGGGGGTGGATGGTAGTATTTCACTCCCCAAAGCAAGGAGGGGAGATGTTTTGCTCTCTGCACACCCCTGGGAGCTGCCAGGGGCCTTCTCTACCGCACAGCCCCCCCAGGGGCACAGAACCAGCCGCTGCCTGGCTGGGCCAGGCCCAGAGGATCCTTAGCCCTCAGGCTCTCGCACGCCAGCAAGGTGTGAGCACAGCCCTGCAGTCAGGGGCTAGCCAGCTCCCTCCACTCTGTCATTTCAGATCTTCGCCATGTTTTTCGCCTCTTGCCTTTATTACAACTTCGACTGAGCGGGACGAAGCATGGCAGAGACAAGCACGAGGGCTTTGGAAACAGCAGCAGGCAAGGAGATGCCATTTCCTCACGTGTCAGAGCACAGCTCTGCGATTCCTTCCCCAGGCAGGCAGATTTACTGAGCCCTGTCTCTGCTCCAGCAAGCGCCTAAGGATGGGCCTGGCTCGATTTTCTTGGAGCAGGGATGGGACAGAGGTTAAACTCCTTGCAGGGGACACTGCAGAGTGGGGAGCTGAGCACCAAACCCGCTCCCACTGCGATCCGCCCTTCATCATTACAAAATCCAGCAGCTCTGGTGACAGGGAGCCCTGACCCCATGCACCTCCTGATCTGCTGCCCCACCAAAAATTGTCCCTCTTCCTCCTAATCCTTTTGCAGGCTTCTCATCCTCCCTTCCCCAGCCTCCAGGCATCCTCCGGGCTCTTCCTCATCCCTCTCAGCTGGTATTTTTCACCCGCCACCTCCTGGAGCCACAGCCCAGGTCACAATAAATGGGCTGAGCTGCAGCTGGAATCCAACAGGCTGCTCCAGAGCTGGAGATTTAAATCTTGGGAGTTTTAAGGACGTATCCTTTAGCAGAGAGGGGTTTCCACAAGCTAGTTCTAACGTGGCTGTTGCTCAGGTTCTGCTCTCAGTTTGTTCTGAGGCGGGGACAGTAAAATAGAAACTGAAATACTGTTCCCACCTCCTAGAGAGCTGGAAATCGGAAGTTGAATCAGTACTTCCAGTTTTCCTTTTCTTCAGAATATTCAAAAAAACCCCCATGCAACAAACCAGAAAAATATTTATAAATTAAAGCTTTATATTTTATTTATATAACTTTTCACCAAACCCCCCCTAGGAAATAGAAAAAGAAAGCCTGCTACAGCTCCATATTGCTTAAAATATTTAGGTATACCTGCGTAAAGAGAAAAGGACAGTGAAAATGAAGGTGACAGCCACAACAGAAGCCCCTCAGGAATCCAGGCGAGATTTCTTCTCCTTCTTGCTGATGCTACTCCCTTTTCTTTTCTGCACAGTAGAGTCATTGGTGGTACTTGCTTCGCTTTGGTTTATTTTCTCTTCCAAAGGCTGGGAAACCTGTGAGAACACAAGAAATAAAAGTAGCAGCTGTGAATAATTTAGTTTTAGATCCCTTAGCACTGCTGTGCGCGTACACCTTGGAACAACCGGCACCCCACGAAGATCAGAACTGCCCCTGCTTCCAGCTTTTATGTTGGAATTATCCTTAATTATCCTGCTCCCAGTGCTGGAAATGTTGGGAAGGGGGAATGACAGGAGAGCAGGATAATGGTTGAGCCTGGAAGTGCCATCTACATGCACGAGCAAGTCGCTCTGGTCACCCAGGTAAGGGACAAGGCCCAGATATCACTGATTTTGGGGAACAGGTTTTGATCTGCTTAAGCACAATTTATTTTTAAATGGCTCCTCTGGGAGAGAAGTCAGGGTGCAGAACGGAGGCAGGAAGGCTGCACCCTGCCAGGGACCAGGGAGAGGGGTGAGCAGGTGGAGAACAGGTGCAGCCGAGCACAGGGCACAGCCACAGGCAGAACACAGAGTCTGGTCAGAACAGAGCTGAGAAAGAAACAGAGCTGCAGGATCCCTGGGGAAGGGGTTTATCAGCCTTACTCATCCTTCCTCCTTCTTGAGAAACACTGGTTATTTGTGAATGGATACATTTATTTGGAAGAAGCAAATCTAATGATCTTAAAAAAAAAAAAGTATGATGAAATTAAATACACACCCAAAGCAGAGAACAGAAGGGGAAGGAAGAACGAATGCTGCCAACAGACACAAAGAAACTGTGAAAGGCAAACTGAGACGAGACAAAAGCTCACAAAAGAGGGAGCTGCACTCTGCCAAGGAAGCACAGCGTGTTTCTTACCCTCTTCTGCTGGCTTGCGTGTTTCTCAGTCCACTCCTTGGCATTTAGCAAGAACAGCTGCTTGTTGTACTTGTACTCTGAGGACTAAATGTAATGAGTGAGACAAAGACGGACATTTGGTTTAATACAAACATTGCACCAAGAAGCTGGGACTGAGGTTTGGCTTTAGGACTCCTAGAACCAGACCAAAACCACTACAAGCACGTGGCATGAAGCATAAAATTCATTTTGCTTGCTTTAGTTTAGCTGCTTTAGCAGGCTTGAAGAGAAGACCTTAACATCTCTCTTCCACTGCTGGCATAAACCCTGTACCACACCGGCCAGCTGCTTTGGGGAAAGGCAGTCATGGCCCCGGCCCTGATCCAGATTAAGCTACACTGCTACGTAATGTGCTAGTGTGTTAATCCAGAGCACGTGAATCCCAGAATCATCTCAGTTGGAAAAGACCTTGAGGATCATCCAGTCCAACCACGAACCTCACCCTGACTGTTCTCAGCTGCACCAGATCCCTCAGCGCTGGGTCAGCCTGAAGTGGAAGCACAGGCTCAGCCCAACACACTGTTCCTTCCCAGTCTGTGCCCACAGCCACGAGAGAGGAAGAAGAGCTCACGTACTATGTCTGCCATGAGAGGGTCATCAGGGTTGGGCTCGGCCATCAGCAGCTGGATGGAGGTCAGCAGCGTGGAGATGTTCAGGGAAGGTCTCCACGCGCCCTTCAGGGAAACAGGGCGAGAGAAGCCGTGAAGCAGAAAGAAACCTGCCTAGAGAAACCTCAGGACTCACAGCATTTAAACCCAACCTGCCCACCAGCTGCCTCAGGACTTACAGCACTTAAACCCCCTGAAGAACACCATATCTTTTCTCCCCCCACAGGCTGCGGCCTCCCGAGGGGCCCTGACTGACACCACAGGCTGTATCCTGCTCATCTCAGTCCCGGGGCAGCCTGATTCCAGAGGCCACCTAATGCCTTTCGACTCCAGTCCTTAAAACCTTGGAAACTTGTATGGAACAAAGCAGGTCATGTTCTAGTCTCTAAACAAAGGAGATGCCGCTCAAAAACTTTACTCCAGTGCTCCCATGTAAATAAGTCAGTAGCAAAGAGACATTCAATAAGGCTTTTACAAGAAAAAGATAAGGAGTTCATTAATCCCTTCGGGCTCGCTTACCTGTGCCCAAGTAGCACTATCTTACCTTCGGTGGTAATTTAAGAACATCCAGGCAAATCCTTCCAGCAGAGTCAATGTTGGGATGATAGATGGGGGTCAGAAAGCGAATCTTCGGGGGCTCAAATGGGTACCTGTAAGGGATAAGCGTTAAGAAACAAAAAAATTATATTTGTACGCCAGTTACTTCATCATTCAAGCAATACCATCATTTCCTCCTTCTGACCATTTAGTGACAGCCTTCCCCACAAATTTTTTGAGGGGGAAATGCTCTGTCTTTGATGCTTTTGCTGTGTCTGACTAGCACTTTCCTCAGTAGCTTTACACAAAGAGCAAACGTGATAGTAAGCTTTCTACTCATGAACAACCTCCTTTCCAGAAAGCTTTGAGGCAACACAATAAAGCAGAGATCTTGTCTTTGTGCTTTTAGGCTGTTAATCACACATCTTAGGATGCCCAATGTGAAATAAGTGTATCATCCAAGGGAAATAGTAATGACACTCCATAAATGAAGGGTCTCACCTAATCAACCACATTCTTTGCTGGGAGGCTAATGACCAAAATAGCAGCACTTATATCAAGCATGTCACATCAGTTAAGTTATATTTGAAGGAAGCACTACACCAGCTACTTATCCAGATGTATCCCACTTACCTTTCAGGAACAACTATTTCCAGGTTGAATATTCCCTTCTCATATGGTGTGTCTGCACCTCCTAAAATCTCTTTAAAAACAGGATTAAAAGATAAACGTTACATTCAAAAGCACTTGAATTTGCCCAACAGTCTCCAAATACCTCCCACGGTTACAGAACTCTAACACTGCTCAGATCCAGGAATGGAAAAACGTCACCTGAGACCAGCTGCACCCCACAGCAAACAAAACCGTGGGCCAACCGACCAAGCCACAGGCCAAGCTATGTTTAGAGAAAAACAAGAAAAAAACCCTAAGCGTTTTCCTAAAATGCCACGCAACTTAGAAAGTACACACCACCCAGCGAATCCAGGCCTAGCAGCAAACTCTCACCTATAGGAAAGTCCCACCAGAGAAGTACATACGTGCTCGTAGGTCATCGAGCTGGTTTCCAGTTTGCCAGCAGGTGATGCCTGGGGGTGGCTCCGTAGTCAAGAGGGAGAGCTCCCTCTTCAGTCGTGAGGCTCTTTGCATAGTGCTGAAACTAAGAGACTGGATTTTATTGCGGGCAAAATTAGCACTTAATACTGAGACTTTTTCTTAGCTAAGCAGAATTAACCTGGGTTTCAAGCTGCTACCTTGATGCACCAACAGGAGTCTCCGGAACCTGTTCCTGGAGCTGCTCTTGCATCCAGCTGGAGGGGGAGAACTAAATCCTCACCCTTTATAACCAGTCCTACTCCTCAGCTGAGCCTAATAAAGCCTCCCAGTCCACTGGGACTGGGCTCCACAGCCCTAACGGGACCATAACACCCGCCCTGGGACAACCCTTGTCCCTTCAGGGCGAGCCACTGACCCATCACAGGCAGGGCGCCCATTGTCCTGCTGCGGCCACCTGCCCCCAGAGGTGCCTGAGACTGGGATACCCACCAGTGTACCCCTCCATAGCTTAACGACCCCCACACGGCCTTACCCCTCCCCGGCACAATTAACCCCGCACAGACCCTGCCACACCACCCCCGCCAGGAACAACCCAGCCCCGCCTCAGCCCAGCGGCTCCCCCCACCCCGGCGACGTCCATGGAGGAATTGCACCCCCCCC